CAATAAAGCATAGATAACCATCTTTGTGGGATGCTCTGCTTTCAGTCAAGGTCTGTGTGAGGTGAGCAGTTGTATTGCCGTTCCATTCCACATCTTCTGAGTCCAACTTGAATTTCTAGCAGTTCCCTGTCAGTGTACTGCTGCAACTGTTACTGAATTCTCTCTAGCATGATTTCATTCTGTGTGTATTAATGATGTTGCTTTATAATGTTTGCATCCTGTTGGATCGCCTTTCTTTGAATTAGGCATAAATAAGGATTTCTCCCTGTCTATTGGCCAAGGTACCCATTTTCAGAATTTCTTGGCATATGTGAATGAGCATTTGATGTTCATTCACTTATTGAAACCTCTCGGGGCGGTATACTGTCAGTTCACGGAACTTTGTTTTTAGCAATGCCTTCAGTGCAGCTTGCACTTCATCCTTCAGGGCCATTGGTTCTCAGTCATGTGCTACCTCTTGAAATGGCTGCATGCCAACCAATTATTTTGGGTCCAGAAACTCTGTGTTGTCCTTCCAGCTTCTGTTCATGATTCCTACACTCTTCAATATTTTGCCCATAAAATACTTCAGTATTGCAACTCCGGCATGAATTTTTTTCTTCAGTTCCTTCAAATTGAGAAATGCCAAGCATCTTCCTTCCCTTTTGGTTTTCTAATTCCAGGTCTTTGCATTTTTCATCATTCCTATATTTTTTCTTCTTGAACAATCCTTTAAAATGTTCTGGTTTGCTCTTTTCCCATAACCATTTCTTCTATTCATTTAGCTACTCTGCTTTCAACTTTCAGATTTCCTCAGTCTTTTAAGTAACTTTTTGCTTTCTTCATATATGGTGTCTTTGACATCCCACAACTTGGCTGTTGTGTTGTGTTTTGTTTGTTGTGTTGTGTTTTGGTCATGCACTATGTTCTAGAGATGGTCTCTACACTCAAGTAGGAAATTCTCAAGGTTATTGGTATTGTTTTAGTTTTCTTCAGCTTCAACTTAAACCGTTCATATTAGCAACTGATGGTCTGTTGCACAGTTGCTTCTTGGCCTTGTTCTGATGATAGTGAGCCTCTCCAACCAACGAGATCCAGTGTATAGTCGTCATTGCTGTTATTTTAAAAAGATATTTTCAATGAACAGATCATTGTTCTTGCAAAATTATGTCATCACTTTCCAGCATTATTTCTACAATGAAGGTCATATTTTCCAGCCACTAACCCATCTTTGTTTCCAATTTTCACAATCCATTCACCATTAATTGCATCTTGATTGCATGTTTGATTAATTTCATACTGCAGAAGTTGGCAAAAATCTTTTGTTCATCATCGGCATTAATAGTTGGTATGTAAATTTTACTAGCGGTCGTATTAACTGCACTTCTTTGTAGATTTATGGATATTATTCTGTCACTTACACAATTGTACTTGAGTATACATCCTGATTTTTTTTTTTTTGCCAATGAATGCAACTTCTTTCCTGTTCAGTTTATGATTTCAGGCATGGTAGATTATGATTGTTCAATTCATAATGGCCCATACCAATCCATTTTGGCTCACTGATGCCTAGGATATATGATAATTATGTATTCCATTTAATTGTTCTTACCAGCTTCAGTTTTCTTACATTCATATTCGTACATGATTATTGTTGTATTCTGATTACTAATGAATGTTTGCAGCTCCTTCTTCTCATTTTGTGTTGTGCCACATCATCAAGTGAAGGTCCCCAAAGCTTTGCTCCATCCACGTCATTGTTGATTCTTTTTTGAGGCAGCAGATCTTTTCCTGTCGTATTTTGAGTGCTTCCAATCTGAGGGACTAGTCTTTTAGCACTACATTTCACAGTGTGCTGCAGTGAAAAGGTTTTCACTGGTCAATTGTTTTCTGAAATCGTCCACCAGATCCTCCTCCTTCTTATCAATCTTAATCTGGATACTCTGTAAACAAATTGCTAAGATAGATAGATAGATAGATAGATAGATAGATAGATAGATAGATAGATAACACAAATAAACAGTTAAATTATAAAGCAGTCAGATAGATATATAACACAAGAAATAAACAGTTAAATTATAAAGCAGTACAAATGGCT